GGGCACATTTATTCTTACTTTGAGTTATAATAATAATAATAAATAGCATTTGTATTGGCCATATACCTGTTCCACTGCAAGCTCTGTGCACTTTACACTATAATATTATTACCCCAGCAGACCATAGAACACACAGAAACATTCTCAGCTTCCCGAGAAGCATACAATGCAAGCAGCTGATTAAGCGCTCAAACACTAACAAACTGACAAAATCTTTCACTGTCTATAATTGGGTACCGATTCCCACCTGGGTGGAGGGAGGAAAATTTGTGTAAAATGCCTTTCCCAAGGACACATCGTCAAGCCCCTGACGGGATTCGAAACCAAAACCTTACAGTTGCGAGTCTGGAAGCCTAACCACTAGTAATACCCCATGAAGGCTTAACACCATTCCAATTACACATTACATAATGTTGTCAAGGGAAAAAAACAGCAGAGTTCATAAAAAAATTAAGGGAGAAAATGTAATCAATCTTGGAAGCTTTGAGGTTCCAGACTTTCAAAATAAGATCTCTCAAAGTCAATCACAAAAATGAGACAGGAGAAAATTTCATATTCTTTGGAAGGTATATGTTCACAAGATTTACTCACATGACGACTCATTCCTGGTCTTGACAGCCATAATGAGAGCTGTGGTGGCCTTCTTGGATGCCGCAGACTCAAGTTTGTTGGCGCTGGGTCTGAACAGGATGGTGCCCTCCGGCACGTGGTCACTCATCAACTTCCTCTCCACATCGGCCGGGCTACAGAAGCCGTAGATGATGCTGGAGAAACAAACCAAAATAAACTACATCATAATGACTATAATAATAACAATACTAGTAATAGAGCTGCGTTTACACGGGAGTGGGCTCTATAGAAATGATCTTCATTATTATTACAATAATACTAATAACAATAACAATAATAATTAATATAATAATTATTATTATTATCATTATTATTATAATCATTTTCATCATTATAACAATAATTGCATTTATATAGTGCACATCCATGCTATACAGCATGCTCTATGCACTTTACAATGACAGTTGAACTTGCTCTAACGGCCACCTGTATAAGACAATCACCTGTACAAACGGCCACTTCCACATTTTCCTCCCTTGTGTTTTCATAACTTTATAATGACATTGTGTGAGACTTCCACCTGCCTAAGACTAACATTTTTCTCCTTGACAGTGGGTGGTATCTAGGACACTTTTGACTGGTAATGACTTTAGAAGAATCACACAAAAAACCCGGCAACATGCTGTATCTAAAGCCTTAGCACATGACAATTGTAATAAACATTTCGAGCAAAGGTCCATCTTCAAATGATGATTCCAACACACACAAACACACACACACACGCACACACACACACACACACACACACACACACACAAACATACAAGCACACTGAGTGACCATTACAACAGACATTATTAAGTAAGCACACATTATAATAAGTCAGACTGGCATCAGTGGTGTAGCAGATAGACGCTTTGAAACTGCATGCAAGAGAATTAAGTATCTCAGTCTTTTCGCTGGGATTTTGGATCCCTCTTAGCTTAGGTTGGCCCTGACAGGCAGTGTAAAATCCTACCTAATAAAATGGTTCAAATTGTGTTGATGCAGATGTAAAAATACTTGCATTTTTTCAAAAAAATCAATAAGAAATGCACACGTGAAAAAAACCCAACATGACTCATTCATCTGCACTTCTGCCAAAGCCATCACACTGCTACTTGAAAGACTGAAGCCCTCTGCAGACTTCCGTTTAGTTTTAGTTAGAGTTTTGAGACACTTGCAGCACAATGTTAGGTTACATAAGTGCCAAAAATTTGAGGTGTTACAAGAGAGTAACATACACAAAACAGAAGTAGGAGAGATGAGGACAATAGATGTTTGAAAGGAAAGGGAGAAGCAAACCGCACCAGGGCACCCACTAATCACCCGTGCCTCTGCAGAGAGCAGAATCAGTTAAACAGTGAGGAGGATAAACTAGAGCTCAAACACGGAAGGAAGGACAAAGAAGGGAAGAAAGACGAGAAACAGGAGGATCAGGATGAAGAAAAGAAGGAGAAGGAGGAGGTGGAGACGGGGGAGGAAGAGACAAAAGAGGATGGGGAGGAGGATGATCAAAAGGAAGAAAAGGGGAAGGAGGTGAAGCAGGAAAGAAGGAGGAGATGGAGGAAGGGGAGGAGGATGATCAGGAAGAAGAAGAGAGAAAGAAGAGGGAGAAGAAGGAAGAAGTGATAAAGGAAGGGGAGGAAGTTGATCAGGAGGAAGAAGAAAAGGAGAAAGAAGTAAAGAAGGACAGGAAGAGAAGGAGGAGAAGATGGAGAAAAAGGAGAAGAATAGATAGGTATTCCATTCAGGAATTAAACGCCACATAACTCTTATCATAAGACAAGCAAGGGAGTGGTTAAAGACAAAGCCATCGGAAATCACATACTCCTCTCCACTCTCTTCCCACTCCTTTTCTCTGCTTCTTCTGGCTCCTTCTTACTGCTGCACTGTTTTTCAGTCACAGTACAGGTCTTACGAAAGGTAAGATCAAACATCTAAGCTTCTTGGATAATGGTAAAAAAATCTAGGAGGTCCCTTGTGCAAGTTGTGAAAGTTAAAGATCCCTCAGTGGCCCTAAAATCAATAAGAGTGGGCTTTTGCCACCACCCAAGTAAAACTGTAAAAGTACTCTAGTCAATATCTTCAAAATTTGGGTGCAGCTGACTTTAACTTTAAGCCAAAGGACCCAACAAAAGAAGGAAATATAATAAAATATGTAAAACTCAGTTGCACTGAAGACCGAAGAACCAGCAGTAGTTGACTACCCTTGAGATCTTGCAGGGGAAAGCAAAGAAGAAGAAAAGAAGACTTATCATACTTTCTCTATTATTGTTCACACCATTATTGTCTATCTATTGACCTAATATCCACCTACCCATCTTCCCACGGTTTGAGTAGATATCTCTCTATACTGCCGACAACACCATGGAACCATGAATAGAATGAAGGGTTCGTCTCTGCCCCAGATTTTTTGGAACTCTTTGCTCCTTCCTGGTTTGGCTGTGGGACAAGAGAAGTCAAAGAGTTTTAGAAGAATATACATAAAAATCATCAATAATGTCCAATTCTAACCATAAATGAGTGTGAACACTGATTTTTTAATAAGGGGGGGGGGGGGGAACATTATTTTATTCTTGTCATCAGTCGGAATTTCAAAAAATATAATGTAGAGCGTGCTTTTCCCATAATACAGTTTCACCACTTATAATGGTGGTTGTAAATAACATAATTTGAGACGATAAAGATCCCTTGACCTTATTTGGAGGATGCATGGTTTGTGCCGGACACCAGCAATATAAAACATCATATATATAATCAGATAAAACATACAAATACAAAAATACTGGCTGCCAGGGACAGCATGGAATAGCTAACAATCAGGATCTTATGATGTGCAGGCAGCATATTTTTTCAAAGTTTTACTGTGCTTTTAAATGAAAAGCTACTACTGAATAAAAAAACCCTTCCCAGATTCCAAGATATCAAAATTGTACAAATAAATGAAACACTTTAAAGAGAAATATAATTTTCAGAGAAAAACAAGGCTGACAAAAGAGGCATAAATCTTTTTCAATTTTTCTGAGGACAATCGAAGTGAAAAGCAGTAGAAATGGAGCCCTCTGCAATCTGAAATGAATGACAGACAAGGAAAACTAAAAGACATATAATGTTTAGGTTTTTCTTAGAAAATTCTAAAGCCAGGTTGAAATTGTAACACATGAGAAAAAGTAACGAGGAGTTGAGTTAAAGAGTGAAAAAAGGAGATGACACGAGAGAGTTAACTAGTGAGGGAAAAAAAGGGGACAAAAAGAGGTTGACTACTGAAGTAAAACAATAAAAAATAAGGGTGTGTGGGTTTAACATCCTATTAACACTATTAGGTTATTTTGGAGGCGGGACCTCCAAATTTAGCTTCCATCTCCAACAGGACCGGACCAAACGGGTTGAGAACCTTGAAAACTACACAACACAATCCATATCCAAGAACAACCAATCTGGGATTTGAACCAGGGCAATCCGCTCCTTAGTCCTGCATGACACCAACTGAGTTAATGGAGCACCCATTAACAGGCAAGAAAAAAGGAGAAGACACAAAAGGGTTAACTTGCATAAATAAATGGAGAGGACACAAAAAGGGTAAGTTTTTTAAAGTTTTAGTAGAGGTTTTACGGCACTCGCAACTGCATAATAAGGTCATATGAGCGCTAAGGGGTGGATGTCAACAGAGAAGTCCTTACAGGAAATCAGACTTACTCTGCTTACCTCTCCAGCTTCAGCAGCACAAAGTCTGCTTCGACTATCAAGGCACCCCGGAAATAGCGGGTCACAAGAGAGTGACAAACATACAAAAGAAGTTGAGGAAAATGACGATAGTAAAGAAAAAGCAGTAGTTCCCTGTTGTAGTTCAGGCACAGTTATGAGCATGACACTGTTAGTACTGAGCATTAGAACAAGAAATATCCTTAAGACACTTGTCAGTGGCACCGCCCCGGGGGACTCAAAAGGGTTAAGTGGGGTGAAAATTGATAAATCAGCAGCGCGACCGCACCATTTTCGCCCATTACCGATACATCGGTACAGACTATACTCAAACTTTATTTACTTTGTAAATACTTCATCCATAATTTTAAGTTTTGATAGAAACATATCTCAAAAGTAAAAACTTCCTGCAACGAAATATAGTGTCTATAACTATGTAAGTGGGTGGAAATTGACATTGTTGAAGTATTTTCTGTGGCGTGTTTGTGAAAGCAAAACACGAAAGATGATCACACCCATTTCTAGTTCTAGCTAGCTATGTTTTCTGGGCCTGGTAGTAATTAAACGACCCTAAAGGCATATAACTTGTAAAACAGACTAGGAAATTTTTCTTTAGCAAACTTGAGGACAGAGACGATATTGTCTAAGAATCCTTAGCTTTAGACTCTGATTCAGCCGATGATTGAATCGAGAGTGAAAAGCGTGAAAGACATAATTCGTAGGTCTAAATCTACAGTGACAGCAAAGAGGATAGATGGAGATAGGGAAGTGAGTGAATATGCTTAGAAATGAAAGGGAAATTAGAAAGCCAAGAGAAGTGAATATAAAGAGGATAATGACCTAGATCTACGTCAAAATCTAAATCTAGACTTGGACAAGCAAGTGCAACTCGGGCAAATTCTGTTTCATTACAACTTTTGGTATTGTCACAGTGATGTTACAAAATATATCATAAAATCTGCTAGAATTGCACAATTCCATACCTTTTTGCATGAACATGCAGGGAATTAAATGTAACATTCATAAAATGAATGTAGGAATCTTTTTTTGAAATACAAATTTTATTATTTATATTAAAAGTTGGAAATTTAGTCTGTCTTTTTATTAGCTCCCATGTGATGGACGTGTTCTTTAACAAGTATTAATAACGTCCTTTGCCTAATCAAATATTTTTTTGCACATTTCAATGCTACGTTTTATTACCTTTCAGAATATGTATGACACTACCTACTTATTATTTCATTTTACTTATGAAAATCCTTCCCAAACATACACACCTATCATTCATGATCGGATGCACAGAGAAAATCGGTGAAAATGGTATAAAAATGGGCAGAGAATGAGTTAACTAGGGTGAAAATGGGAGAGGACACATAAAGGTTAACTGGGGTGAACAAGGGAAAGAACACATAAGAGTATGAAGAGAAAGAGAGGACACAGTAGGAATCAGTACCTTGATAAATCCTTGCATGCTCACTTGTCCTTCCTCATTCACTGGGAACAGACACAAGACAGTGATCATAAATAAATGTAAATGGTTTACTCCTCTATCAACACAATTCAGATCCTATTAAGAAACCAGATACTTTGACCCAACCTGCAACCGCCAAGGCAGGGTAAGTGGGATATACCATCCTGGAAGACAAATGGAGTTATTAGATAAAACAGCTCCCTGAATTCAAATAAGTGTCTATTGCGCGCAATGGCAAAAGAACCTTATCATTATAGAACAAAATAATAATAAAATAAAATAAGTTACATTTCATTGATCCCAGTAAGGAAATTTTAGTAACAATGGTAAACATACATAATTAAAAATACATACATACATAAAAACATACATAAATATTCAACATCACACCAATACAGAACAACTTCACAAACACGCCATTGCTGGTCACCACTGTGCAGCACCCTGGGTTGTTGTTTTTAGCTAGGATTGTCGTGTCTAGCACAAGGATACACCCCAGTGATCACCCATTTAGATCATTTTGGAGGGATGCTGCTTCAACCCTGCCTGACACAGCAACACTAGTAACAAGAACACAGTGTTCCAGCAGACAGACAAAAGTACTCCAATAAAAATCCTCGCCACACTAGAATCGAACTCACATCTTGGTTTTGTTTTAATAAGAGTTTTACAGCACTTGCAACACAATTAGTGCCGAAGAATAGAGGTTTTACAAGAGAGTCACAAACACAAAAAAACCAAAGGGGAGATAAAAACGATAGAAATTTTGACAGGAAAGAAGGAGTAAATCACATTAGAGCACCCACCAACCACCCACGAATTCACTTCTCCCATGCTAGTTTGCTTGTTTGAGTAAAGAGAAGCACATCGGCACAATAATGGTCATTTAGTGCTGAGAATAATAAGACAGACAGACAGACAGAAACAACAGAAGGAAAGTGAAGAAGTAGGACCAACCTGTAGCACCCTCCAGCTTACCCCCCCCCCCCTTTCATAGGCAGCAGCAAAGAGAAAAACCATTACACCACAGATGTTGATTCCAAATTCAGTGAAGGTAGCCCCAAAATATCATAACCTATGAAGACCACATGAACAAATAGTGACCGACTCAAATTTCAATGTAGCTAGGAAGTTTTATTTTTGTGTTTGTGTTTTTCAGACTTAAAAAAAATTGGTATCTTGTTTTTAGTAAGAGTTTTACGGCACTTGCAACACAATATGGTCATACAGGTGCCGAAGATTAGAGGAGTTACAACAGTGATAGATGTTTGATTGGAAAAAAAAAGAGCAAGCCACACCAAAAACACCTGCCAACCACCTGCTATTGCTATCTAGGAAATTTGTGGTAGTACCTGTCAATCGATTGCGGAGAAAAGCTTTGTCCTCGGAGGTCAGCTGTCGCTTTTTGCTGGTGGCAAATGTGATGCGGTTGTTGAGCATATTGATCACATCCTCAACTGGGAGGCTGTTCGGACACTCAAAGGATCCTTTGTACTAGAGATGAAACAGACATTACTTTGTCTGGGGTAAAGAAACAAATTACTTTGTCCTGGGTATAAAAAAAAAAACATGGCTTTGTACTGGAGATAGAAACAGACATTACTTTGTCTTAAGTATAGAAACAGACCTTACTTTGTATCAGAGACAGAAACAGACATTACTTTGTTCTGGGTATAGAAACAGACCTTACTTTGTATCAGAGATAGAAACAGACATTACTTTGTACAGGAGATAAAACCAGACATTTTTTTTATGCAGGAGATAGAAACAGAAATTACTTAGTGGGTCTACTGGATATAAAAAAAGGCATTTTGTACCAGTACAAAAAAAATACACAACTTTATACTGGATATGGCACAGACAGTACTCCTTACAGTACCCAGCAATTATAGACATCAAAAGATCTCCTCAGTTTGTTTGTGTTTCAGCACTTAATTGGCTGTACGCTTCCTGGGAATCAGAGAGTGTTTCTGAGTTTTCTATGGTCTGTTAAGGTAATAACAGTTATAAAAAACACAGAGCCTGCTGTAGAACAGAGGTCAAAAGCCTTTTCAGCCAACTTGGTCACATTAGAGCTCAGAAAAGTCCTATTATGCCGCAAAAAAAATAATTTTTTAATGAGGTGTCAGAGAAAGGACTTTTTAAAATCTTTTGATAATTAAGAACAGTGTACATATTGACAATGACAACTTTTAATCACATAAGTACTTATAAATGTACTTAATTTTTTTAAAGCTGCCGTCATTTGCAATAGTTGTAGTAGAAATTTCGATCAATTCTATTCAACATATTAGTAGTCTTTATAACTTAATATCTCCGCATCTTTCTATGAAGCCTATTTTTTTCCTTAAAGCATTTCTAAGCAAGCATGGGTAATCAAACTTTTGAGACACATAATTAGCGATGTGGGGTGAAGCAGGTATGGGTGTTAGCATCTCATCACTGTGGGGCAAATTGGTCTCTGCTCATAAACAATCATGGAGTGTCTTTTTGTTACGAATGAAACAATTCAAATGTATAGGAATGTCGCTGTAAGGCCCATAAGGCCGGATGTTACATTAAATAAGTAGAGGGGCTTTAGGCCGGACGGAAACCATCATTAGGCCGGATCTAGACTAAAAGCTGAAGGTTGCCGCTCCCTGCTGTAGAATAGGATATACGCTTTGTAACAGCAAATAAAATTATCATAATTATCATGAGACCACCATCCTCCCCAATCCCCTGACTTAAAAAACCATACCAGAAATGAGTAGGCAAGTAATTTCTCTCTCCATCACTTCTACTCACCAAGTCAGCATTGGAGCAGTACCACATCCTTGCACCAATAAACTCCAGAAGCTGATTCGACCCGGTCTTGAACATGAAAGGCAGCGACAGAGTCTGCAAGAAACACAAAGTAATATTAGTTAAGTTTTAGTACGTGTTTTACAGCACTCGTAACACAAGAAGGTCATATGAGTGCTGAAGATTAGAGGTGTAACTAGAGAGTGACATCCAAAGAAAAGAAAGATGAGAGATATGTTTTATAGTTAAGAAGGAGCAAACAACAGAAGAGTGCCCACTAACCACCTGCACAGAAAGTAGGTTTTTTAAACCATTTTACAAACATTGTAAAAAGACAAGACCTCAATCTACCAGCTAACTCAGAAATTAATTAAGAAATGTGACATTTCAATATATGCCTCAGACAGCAAGGATTACAGCATTAACAATACCATATAACATACTCACCTGCAATATGAACCATTTTTCAAAAAAACAATTTAATTCAAAAAGTATTAAGTCCCTGCATAAATACGCACAACATAGAGGATTGATTCCAGCAAGATAAAGTAATTAGGATTTTCACAGATTAAATCCGTCTCAATACACCAACCAACAGTTCTTAAGGGTAAGACAATATGTGAGGCACTGTGGTGAAATCAGGCACTCGTAAAAATAATTAAATCAAAGAAATCGGCATTTTTTGGGGCCGATGGGCAATGTTTTCTAATTTTCTGTTTTTGGCTCAACACCTTTTACGTCCATTAAAAAACATATTTCTGCGTGGATCTTACTGAAAAACATTGATTAACACTTTCCCTACCACAAGCGGCTCGCGGACTTAGCCTCGCTGGACCGAGAGCCGCAAAATACGGCTCGAGTGGCTCGCTATCTATTCCAATCCAGTAATGAAAAGATACAAAATTCTCGGCCAATCCAGGTTTTCAAAATAATACAATAGACTTCCTGTTAGTAGATACGAAAGAAAATATTGCACTGACAGACGATTTTTTTGTCATTTCAGCCCTTTTTTTGTCCCCTTTGAAACGTAAATATGAGGAAAAAAAGCGCTCCCCTGACTTCAGTATATGTCTAATATTTTCACTTCTGTATTAAGAACACATACACAACTTTCAGCATTTCTTTGCATTACTTGAGGCAACCTACCTGGGAAGTTTGAATGATGCTGTTGTTGAACTTTTTTAGTTATGAACTTTCAAAGCTGGAAAATTATTGATTTCATATGACACCTTCGATATGGCATAATCACTTTTAGAAACCCCAAAGTAATACAATTGGAATAAATCTTCAATATTGTATCGCAATCTAATAGATTATTTTTTAACCTTCAGTTTGAGGGGCCATATGATGTGGTTTGTGTGTGTTTAGTTGGATGTTTTGACATTTTCCTTTGGCGGGGTAGGGACGTACAGATAGGTCAGGGAAAAGCCCTGGGCCAGTGGTGGATTTTGGCCGGGTAGGAAAAGAGTTAAAGGCACAAAAAAAGAAAATATTCAGTTTCCAAGAACTCAGGCTATGGAAGTTACCAAACTTTGGCCGCCATTTTCTCACTAATTTTACCTCTGAAATCAGGGGACCCTGACTTCCTTCGCAAATATTTCGACTTCTATTCAACATAGAAGGGTAATTTTTTTTCACAAAAAGGAAGGCAAATGAACAGGCTTTAAGATGATACCAATAACCCAATAAGCCCAAAAATTGATGAGCGCTTGATTCTTCCACGTCGTGACACATATTAATTAGATGCTCGACTAGTACCTGATTTCACGCACTTAAAGACCCCTACAGCATGTCAGAAATTCACCCTGTAATATAACGCGCAACCTACAAAAATGGAGTCAAAGTATACCACCTGTATTATAGTTGAGGTCATGATATAGAGACAAAGGATAACCATAACCCAAACTATCCAATGTTTTGTGTTAGCTGGGGCCCTAGGTAATGTCCCGATCAGCCTTGGGTGTCTCACTTTGTTTGGCTTCCATCCTGCCAGACAGGGCTATCCCAGGATGAGATGGTACAACATCAACATCTCATTTATTTTTTTTTTAATGGTAGAGGGTTTTACTGTGCTCACAACTGCATAAGGTCATATGAGCGCCAAGGGGTGGGTGTCAACAGAGAAGTCTTTACAGGGACTCAGACTGAGACTGCTCACCTATCTAGCTTCAAAGCACAAGGTCTGCTTCTACTATCAAGGCACAAGAGAGTGACAAACATACAAAAGAAGTAGAGGAAAATGACAATAGTAAGGATCAGGAAAGAAAAAAGCAGCAGTTCCCTGTTGTAGATCAGGCACAGTTATGAACGTGACATGAGTCAGCCCATTTACAATTCTACTGTGCTTGAACGAGAAATGTCCCCCCTTTGAGCACGGCCTAAAGACACTACAGTTAGTGGCACTGCCCCGGGGGGAATCAACATCTCAACAGATGACAGTAAGCGTCTGTGGTGTAATAGCTAAGCCCATCATTGTTGCACTCACAAGACGCGAGTCCAGTTCCATCTCTGTCTGTGATGTAGTTTAGTTTCAGTAAGAGTTATACGACAATACCAACACAATCAGGTCGTAGAGGTGCCCAAGATTTAAGGTGCTACAAGAGGGTAATTAACACAAAAAAGAAGGAGGAAAGCGTGAACCACAACAGTGCACCCTCCAACTACCCACTTTTTGTTTGTTTCAGAAAGAGTTATATGCCACGTGCAACATAATAAGGTCCTACAAGTGCCGAAGAATAGAGGTGTTACAAGAAGTGACAAACACAAAAAGAAGGAAGAAAGATAAGGACGATAGATGTTAGATAGGAAAGAAGGAGCAAACCACACAAGAGCACCCGCCAACCACCCAGTAGCGGTAAGGTGCTCACCTCCAGTCTATACTCAGTCCCATGCACCTCCACAGTGACGGAATAACGCATCCTGAAAAACTGTTTGTACACTGTGTTCTGCTCCACTCGGGAAAAGTTCTGGACTTCGATATCTTTCCACTCGATGGACACCATCAACCCTGACGCTAACACTTTACCGGGAGGGAGCTTCAGGAACTTTTTCCCGCCCTCTTGCTTGACATCCGACTCCATTCGAACCAAATCTCTCTCAGCAACAAGCTCAATGTTGCTGTCAGTGATATTGAGTCCTGAAAATGATTCCCCACCCAAAATTCTGAGGAAGAACAACCAGACATTTCCAATGTTAAGAAACATTTATTATTTTTGTAGATTTCAATGAGTCTCTCTGAAGGTAATTAAACATTTTGTAACCTATTCTTTTATATTTGAGTCTGAGGGAGAATTACTAAAAATATAAATTACATTTCAGCATCAGTAAATATTACTAATTATTTTCTCTTTTTATCTGTTTTACAGTACTTGCGACATAATAAGTCATATCAGTGCCGAAGACTAGAGATAACATGAAAGAGGTGAAAAACATGCCATACAAGTACACAGGGCCTACCTGACTTCAGTGTGGAGGTTTTGGTTCTTGTTGGAACAGAACTTCATCTCTTTCTTTGACTCTTTGTCCGCATCAGAATCTTTTGACCCCTTGTTCGCAATGTCAATCACGTCTTTCAGCTGTATGCTCACAACAAGAGCGCTGGTGGGGGGAGGGAACAAGAGGTGGAGGGAGTGAAGAGGGAGGGGGTGGAGGGAGAAAATGGAGGGAGCAAGGGATGGAGGAGAATGGAGGGGGAAGGAGCAAGGGGAGGAGTGAAGAGGGAAGGGGGATTACAGAGAGCTAATATCAGAGAGTAACCAATTAAAAATAATGAAAACTCACAATCAAACAAAGAGATATGAATTTACACACATGCACACATACAGACAGAGAAATACACACACAATACACACATATACATCAAGACACACACACACCCACACACACACAGACATACAAACAAAGACACACACACACATACAGATGCACACATATATTTAGTAGATAACAGACACTCACAAACACACACACACTCACACACACAAACAAATACAAACACAAAAAAACCAACAACAAAAAACCAACATACACAGACACATACACAAATCTGTATTTTAATTCAGCCTCAGAGTAGCAAGATGGTACAAAGAAAACCACATAGCAGATATAGGAAAATTGACTTGACAATGTGGCAATATATTTCATGATAAGACATTGCGGGTGGTTTACTCCTTCTTTACACATCAAACATCTATCAAAATTATCTTTCCTCCTTCTCTTCTTGGTATGTTACTCTCTAGTAACACCTCTAATATTCAGCACATGCATGACCTAGTTTTGGGGGTTTTATTTGCAAGTTCCATAAAACTCTTAATAAAACTATTAAAAAAGACATGATTATCAATGTAAGCCATGTTTGAACATAGAAAAAATCATGCCTTTGCATCAAATAGATTGTCATAATATCACACATGGGGCACGCAGCTAGCTCAGTTGGTATTATGCTGGGCTATGGAGTGGACGGCCCTGGTTCAAATCCCCAACAGGGTGTTCTGAACTTAGGTTGTTTTGGGGAGCTTTTAAGGCACTTCACCCATCTCGCTTGGTCTTATCGGAGACGGACATATAATTTGGAGGTCCTTCCTCTTTAACTCTATCCGTATGTCATGTTTTACTATCGTATCCATATGAAGTGGGGAACTCTGTGCCACCACTTTCCAAAGAGGAAATTTACTCGTTAATCCGATCCATACGCTTTGCATAGCAGTCTGTCAAAATTATTTTTTGAGAAATACTGACAGTTTCAAAGAATTTTTCGCACTATAAGTATTCTTAAATGTAAAGAATACAACCCCGGGGGTAAAAAATGACCCCAGGGGGAACGGATAAGGTTAATGACCTTACAATGTGAAAGGAGATTAAACTGAAACAACAGCCAATGACAAAATCACAGCTCGAAATGTGGTCGAAGCAGCCTGCCAATCTTAAGTGATCTAAACTGTTTTTGATGGAGACAATGTAATAATAACAATAGCAATGTAATAACAATATTCATAACAATAACTTTAATAATGATGATGATGATGATGATGATGATGATGATGATGATGATAATAATTAATAATAACAATAATAATAATAATAAAATTTACTTTTAATCCATCATAAACTAACAATGATTTTTACCATCGAAGGAGAAAGAGACGTTACATCTACTTTCCTATCAAATAGCTATCGTCCTTATCTCTCCTTTTTTAACTCTCTTGTAACATTTCTAATCTTCAGCTCTTACATGACCCAACTGTGTTGCAAGCGCCATAAAACCACTGCAAGTAGCTAGCTTGTTAGAGAGAGCAAAGTCCAGGAAAATATGGTAGGTATCTTGCAATGAGAACTAATGCCACGGCTCACCAAAGTGGCACTTTTCCCTTTCCTAAAGTAGCGGGCATAGGAGGCGGTGTAAAATATTTGTGAGGCATGTCGACAAAATGAGTTACAGGTGATAAAAAACAAAAACGGTACAACTTTTTATCTGAATATCGCACAAAATTTGTACTAGAATGTAGTAATTTGGAAAATATACAATTCATTCAAAAGAAATTTGTTTAACGTAAAATTTATAAAGAAGAAACTTGTTTTCGTTAACGGAAATGGCTTGTATAAAAAAAACACCTATAAACGCTAAAAGCACCAATTTAAAAGATCTTGTAATTTAAGGAGAGTTATGAAATGGTTTGTTTGTTTTTTTCCCCTTCCTTTTCTTTTTAAAATCTAATCTTTCCATCCCTGTAACATTTAAACAATAATTTTTCTTTTCTCTTACAGATTTTTAGAATAAAACAATTTAATTTTACAATTCTGAGAACTAGAGCTCTATAAATCCTCCAACGGACTCGTAACATTTTAACGCGTCGTTCGTAATGTTCAGTGGTGGCCAAACACAAAGATCCACCCAAACATGAGTACTCAAACCTACACACACTGCACACTTTACAATATGGAGTAGCTTCTATAGACAGTAAGGTGGTGGGTGAGGTTGCCCAAATAGGCCTTTGTGGAATTGATATATCCTGAAATGTGAATATGGGCTTTGCCAAGGAATCAAAAGTCATAGAGGAATGTCCACGCTTTTCAAGATAATCCAGGAACCATGAACACATTGTTACCCTCAGATTCATGCCAGCTTCACGAACAGAAAAATGCTACATGAAGATCAGCCTTGAAGATGCGGACCGTTCAGATGTAGGAAAGCCTTTGCTGCAGACATTGTCTACAGACAGACGTCTCATGGGAGTCATCTTCCGAATTCTGCACCATGATGACGTTTAAAGGGTTGCGAAAGGTGTGTGTTTCATCTGAAGTGGTTGTTTTGTCTCGGAAATTTTTTGTTCTGATTCTCTACAGGTCCTAACTGATGGACCATTTCCACCCTTGACATCAAAAAAGGCATTGAGGGCACTTTAACATTGTTAACGTACCTTGAGCGAAACTTACGAAATGAGTTGGCGGTGAGGAAATATCCAATACAAAACACTCTCTGCTAGTTACTAATCTTAACCATGATCTCAGCAGGAAAGGAAACTTGATAAAAACTATGTGCAAACTTCTGTTGGCCTGTAGCTGGCAATATGCTACGATCGTTGGGACTTTTAATGGTAGGCCTAATGCAAACTAGTGCGTCATGCTAAAAAAAATTTGGGACATAGCTGAATATGGGTTGTTTTTTTTATACGCTATGTAGAGCAAAACTATTCTGTGGATTTATCTAAATGGAATATCAGACAAATTCCTTTTGACTTCCAAATGTTGTGTACACATTTGAAATGCAAAACTTCAGTGTGAAGGAAAATATTTACCAAAAAAGTTGTATAGTTGGGTTTTTTCAATCACTCTGTACTTCTCGGATTTTATCCCTGGGACAAAGATATGTCAAATTTATAGCTTCAGTTTTTACAATCTATTGGTATGAAATGATATAAAAAACATATTAAACTTCCAGAACATGCCATCAGTTGACAATCTACACATTTGATCCCTGAGTTGATTTTCAGCCAAAATCTCCATCTACGAATTGCAAAAAGTAGCTGATTTTGTCAGCACCCCTCGCGTCTACAATGGCAATTTCATTTTACCTTGAGAAGAACCTGTTCTCAGCTAGCTTGAAGGACCTGTGAAGGGCCGCCAGTTGACCGGGGAAGGAACTGCTCCCTGCACTCATCCCCGGAGACTCATGCATTTTGTGAAACACCCGGTCCAGGGCTTCCAGCAGATGGGCAAATTCTTTGAAACTGTAGATGTCGATTAAAAGGTTGCTTAAGACTCATTTGTTTAATTCTGAGTTAGAGTTTGTTGGCAGGTGCTGATGTGTCTCGTTTTCACTGCTGTCCTTATGTGCACATAGTCAACACATGGCAGAGAGAGTTCTTTCTTAGATGTGGTTGAATTTGTTTTCTTGTGCATATGAAATGGGGCTGTTTTTGTTTTGTTTTTTGGCGTGTGTGAGGTTTACTCTCAGTAATCATATCATCGATAAAGCGCTCAGTGCTTATACTTGTACAGGATAAAGAGCTATATAAATGCAATCTATCATTATCATTTTTTTAAAAACCCAGGTAAACACATTTATATTGACTAGCAAATTCCTTTAAAATATTGGCATTGCTATTTTTTAAAATACACACATTTATATTTATACTTGTCGATTTACCCACTAATCCATTCGAGAAAAAAAAAAATAATACACACATTTACATAGACAAGCAACTTCTTTAAATTGTCAACATTGTTCTAAAAAAAATCCAAGCACATTTACGTCTACTTGTTGATTGGTCCACCCATCCATCTATCAGAAAAAGAGTTGATATAATTGTACCCCTGCTCAAGGAGTGCAACTTAAAATGTGAACTTATTATCTTTTGAGCTTTCTCCCTTCGACATCAACCAAAATACATCCCTAATTTCGAGTCGTAAGCTTTAACCCTCGGGCATTGACCAAGATCAATCTTAATTTCCATTTGTAAGCTTTCACCAGTTGGTATACATTCAAATACAGTTGAACTTGCACTTACGGCCACCTACATAAGACGGTTACCTGTACAAACAACCACTTCCCATTTCACATTTGTATTTTTTTTAAAGTTTACTGACTTTGCGTAAGACAGCCACCAGTCAAAGACTACCACATTACTCCTCCACAATGGCTGACCATCTTAGACAAGTTCAACAGTACAACCCTAACTTCCAGTTCCAAGATTTCACCCTTTGGTATCGATCCAAACAGGATCTGAATTTCCAGTAGAGAACTTACTTTTGGTTGACGACTACCGGAGAGATATCTGGGCCCGTCTTGACACTCGCTCTCGCCTCGGCCTCCCGCCACTCTGACACCTCCTTCTCCAGGCCAGACAGCAACTGATCCAGCTGCTCCACCGTTCTCTGCAGGATTCTCATCACTCTCTGAAAATGCAAGGAAAATATTTTGGGAAAACTTTCAACACTTATAATGAAGAGATTTGCATTGGTATCCTTTATTCTCAGTGCACACTGCCAATTAAACACATCTTACTAAGTTAAGACCAGCCAGATTTTCCCTTCATGAATCGAGCAAAAGCTACCATGTTGACAAAATACGACCAAATTTAACTCTAACCTTCAAATTAAACGCATTTGCTTTATTCAAGGTTGCGAGTTAAATTGGTCGTATTATGCCAAAATGATAGTTTTTGCCACATCCATGAAGGAAAATCTGGCTATCTGGCTCTGGACTCCGTCTGAAGGTTCCATTTGGCACTGTGCAGTGGGTATCCTCAGCTCATCAATAGGCACTATTCCTATTTAAGTTGCAGTATATATCGATTTTCAAAAATTTGTAATTGAAAGTGTATATTTTCCACACATTTAACCGATTGGCTAAGACTGCGCAGCGCATTTTCATGATCGTATAATTGCGCAGAAATCTTAAGATTGCGCTGCGCGTTTTAACGATTATATAATTGCGCAGCAATCTGAAGATTGCGTTAATATTTTATATTTTTCAAATGATTTTTAAAAAAATTCACTTCCATCTTTATTCACATCAAGGAACATCCATATTACTTTTTCAAAAGTGTAAAAATCTCTGAAGAGTCCATAAGAATGATACAATGTCAAGTATCAAACTCAAGGTTCACTTCACTTCTATTTTTATTCTTTTACTCACATCAAGGAACATTCACGTACAGTCAAACCTGTGTAAGACGGCCACCCATTGTCAAGGAGAACAGTGGCCGTATAAGACAGGTGGCCGTCTTAGGCAGGACTGATCAAGATGAAGAAAACAAACTATTTCCATCTGAGGTCCCAATCGAAAGTAGCCGCATTGTTGTTGTTTTTGTTGTTGTTGCTGTTGTTGGTTTGTATTTTGTTTGTAATTTTTGTTGTTGCTGATTTTGCACAAGGGTGACAATAAAACGAAATGTATCAGACAAGGAAGACTGAATGACATGGTAAAACAAACACAGGGGTCGCCACTACTCGGAGAACGAGCGACGCTTCTGTCACAAGTTCATGTTGGCGTCTTTTGTTACTTTGTTACAGACTGGGTAAACAGTGACCACTCATCTCACTTACGATTTGTGTATGAGTTCTGGGCGGGGCTTATGGGTTATGAGGGATCACACGCTTACCTCACCAGCAGCTGAAAAATGGTAGCTATTGATCAACAGTGGGAGGGGCCTACACAACATGATCGATTGGAGGGACTACCTAACAACAATGACAGGTGATTGAATTATGACGGCTCGCCCACAACGCCAGGGGCCAATGCACAATTTATGACAAAACGTAATGGAGTCACTAAGGTGGCCGTCTAAGACAGGTGTTATTGCTTAGTGTGATAGGGGGTTGTGTGTTAAATTATGGTGGCTGCGGCGGACAGGTGCCCATTTTACACAGTTAAATTATATCGAAAAAACGCAAGGGGGGAAATGGAAAGTGCCCGTTTGTACAGGTGGCTGTCTTATAGAGGTGGTCGTCAGGGCAGGTTTGACTGTATATTTTCAAAAGGGTAAAAATATGAAAATTAAAATCAAAATTAAGATATGAACTGAAGAGCTCACAAGAACAATACAATTATACGATCTTTAAAACGCGCATCGCAATCTGAAGATTATCACGCAATTAATCGATCGTTAAAACATACAGTGCAATTGCGCCGTTCTGTAAATTATGAGGAACATTTGCACTCCCATAAACTGAGCTACATCGATGATAAAAAATTTCTGACACGAAAAGCAACTTATTTTACTCTGTTTTTGAGAGAGTTTAATGCCATACTACAACTATACACAAGTAGGTCATTTCGAAGGCAGACTCCCTTGTAAGGTTTCAGGGGATCTATTTTCAGCTATACCAGACTCTCTGAAGACACACTTGAGAGAAAGAGAACTTTGAACTTTTGAATTGAACAAAAGACACAGAAAAAGTGGAGAAAACTAGCAAATGTGTTCCCCAGGCTCATAAAGAGTTCTAATAATTACAAGAAGTCCTTTTTAAGATTAGAGCACTTTCGTTCAGAAATGGTGTTTCCAGGGTTCACAAAGACTGTTTTCAGAAGCTGCCGAGGACCCGACAAAGCCATTTTCATTGATTTGCAGAGTCGCAGCTGCCAATGATTCAAAGGTAAATATCTAAACGACAATCTTCTTTGTTCCTCTGGCTCAAAAGAGAGTTCAAACTACAGGAAGTCCTTTTTAAGATTAGTGCACTTTCGTTCAGCATTGATATTTCCGATGTTACCGGCAGTGACAGTCTGGTGACAAAGAGAGCTCTGATCTCATGGGCACTTGCCACTAATGGGGTTAAAGACTCATTTAAACTGAAATCTTGAAAGTCTTTGGGTTTTTTCTATATATCGATATCTTGAAAGTCCTCGAAATAAACCCATTTAAGATCTTCCAAAATCTCTTAAATAAATCTATTTAAATCTCAAAAGTCTCCTCTAAAAAAATCCATCGAAATATTTAAAGCCTCTGTAAAAAAAACCCCCCCCATTGAAATCATAAAACGACCTACTTGTCTCATCTCATGGGACTCGGCGTCGTTGGCAATCATACTTTCGATGTGACTGTTTATGGTGGCCTCTGTCCATTGCAGACTGGCCTTAGCAGCCACTACCTCCATCTGCTCGTCCCACGTAGCGTCAATTGCTGCCCCTTCCAATACATTCTTTGCATTGAGCAGTTGGTCTGAAGGAAGCACAACAGAGTTAGTCAAAATAATTATAATCATAATCATAATTATGACCAAAATAATAACAATTGCAATAATAGTAATGATAATAATAATAATGATGATGATATTGATGATAATAGTAATAATAATACTACTAATAATAAATAATAAATAATAATGATGATGATGGTCATCATTTATATAGCATACATCTACACACTATAGCATGCTCTATGCACTTTACAACTATTATTACCCCAGCAGACCCCGCACCACTCAAGAACATTCCTGGCTTCCTGGGAAGCATACAGTGCAAGCTACAGTTTACACACACTAGAATACTTAATAAAATTAATGAAATCTTTCACTGTCATGTACCCATTCTCACTTGGGTGAAATGGGGAAAATTTGTGTAAAGTACCTTTCCCCCAAAGACATAATCTCAGACACCTGATGGGATATGAACCCATAACATTGCAGCTGAGTTTTTCGGGGAGGGGGGGTTGATAAGTGTTTAACGGCACTCGCAACTGCATGAGGTCATATGAGTGCGCGGGACACAATAAATATTTTCAGTTGGTATGAAATTTTGAATTTTGCCCGGGTAGCAGCCGAAGTCTACTCTTATCGCTTTTAGACCACCAAGGGATCTTTAATGTGCCCAATTTGCACACGAGACCTCCGAGATTTTTCGCCCTTGTCCAAGCTGGCTAGGTTTGGATCTTTCCTACTATAAAATCAGGGTGTGGCTGAAAAACAGCAGTAAGGAGGAGCCAAGGAGTAGCAGTAGAAAGGCTGCAGAAAGAGTCAGGAGCCCAGAGGAGGGGGCAAAGGAAGTGAGGTGGTGGGGGCAGAAAGTAGAGACAAAAGCAGACGACAGAACATTGTTAGAGAGCGGGAAAGGACGTGAAAGGAGACAATTTTAGAGAAGAAATTTTTTAGTAGCTACTAGGATTCGAACCCGGGACCTACTGAATGAGAGGCGAACACCTTAACCTCTAGGCCAAGAGAGCCCCCAGCTGTGAGTCTGAGATATCCTAAGCACTAGACCAACCGACAACACCATTGACTGAGGGGACAGAGAACTTGAGAATAGTCTGGCAAAGTTGTTGACGATACTTTCTGAGAGAGTGACAACAGATTGTAGCAGTAATTGTAAGTGCAAGTGTTTTACTCCCCTATCAACGCAATTTAGATCCTTTAAGAGGAAAGCTGTTTCAGTCCTGCCAGTCAGGGCCAATTCCGGCTGAGAGGAATACAACGGTCCAGCAGAAAGACATAGATGCTCGATAAAAATTTTCTTCACACAGACATCTAATTCACGTCTTGTCTGAGGGCAACGTCAAAAGGTCTTTCCACTACAAACCACATGTGCCGGTGTGACCACTGAGGTGACATTAGTGATATCATGTTTACAAAAAGAAAAAAGAAAAACAATTTTTTGACTATGTCTTTTGAGCAACGATATCGTTCGAGTGACTGCATCTTTTGAGTGACCACATCTCTTGAGCAACAATATCTTTAGAGTGACTGTTATTTTCAGTGACCACATCTTATGAGCGACAATATCTTTTAAGTGACTGAGTGACTGTATCTTTTTAGTGATACAAGTGGCAGCAAAGTTTAGTAAATTCCATAGCTTGAGAGTCCTTGGAAACTGAAAATCTACATTTTTATATACATTTAATCAACATTTTTCAGTAAAGTCCACACAGAAATGTGTTTTTAAATGGACATAAAAGGTGGGGAGCCAAAAAACAAAATTCGATAAAGATTGCCAAACTCAAGGAAAAATGCTGATTTCTTAAATTTCATCATTTGGACGAGCACCTAATTTCACCATGCTGCCTCACATATGTGTAGCAGTGTTGTGGAATCAGGCACATGTCAATTTTTGGGCATATCAAGTTATTGGTGTAATCTTACAGCCTGTTCATTTGCCTCGCTTTTAATGAAAAGGATACAAATCTATCTGAAATAGAAATTGAAATATTTGCCAATGAAGGAGGCAGGGGTCACCTGATGTCTGCGGTAGTAAATTAGCGAGAAAATGGCCACCAAAGTTTGGTAACCTCAAAAGTTTAAGTTTCCTTGTAAACTGCAAATTTACATTTTTTTGCACCTTTGATCAATGTTTTTCAGTAAAACCCAGAAAGAAATTTTTTTTTTTACTGGACATGAAAGGTAGTGAGCTAAAAAAAAAAAAATTTTTAATTGCCCAAGGACCAGAAAAATGCTGGCTTCTTTGATTTCATTATTTTGATGAGCTCCTGATTCCATCGTGATGCCTCAGATATTTACTCACCCGGCAACATAGAAGGCAAGTCAGAACTCTCCTCCCCAAACTCCTCAGATATACTCTGGATACAAATCTTTGCCTGCTCCACATCCTGTGATGAATGAAGAAAAAAAAATTAAACCAGGGGGCTCAAACTCACAACCCCTCGTTTAATTGAAGCCTGCAGAATTATATTTTGCAGCTCATTATTAACATCAAAGTTTAGCATCGGTGCAGCCTGTAAGTTTTTCTCCCTTTTTGCCCGGGTGTTGCCCTGGATTTTTATATTTTAAAAAAGAATCATTAATGAACTACTTAATGGGGTACCATAGCTCAGGTTTCTCCTAGCTTCTGGAGATGTTTGTTGACAATGACAAGTGTAAATACGATTTTAAAATTGTACTTTTTTTTATACGCGAAACTTTTTTGTTTCTTTCTTGGAATGCTTGATGTGTCCCAGGCTCACCCAGACTCTACCTCCTGCAGCCCCCAGGCAATTTGAGTTTGAAACTACTGATTTAACTCTTCTCAGGCGTATCGGTGATATATCCGTGACTTCCAGAAAACACATTTGGTAATATAGCCAAAATATTGGCAATATGAACAGAGTTTGTTTCGTTATTTCCATTCTATTACTTTTATAACATCAGTAACATCAACATTCAAATACTTTTTTCTGTGATATATAACTACCACTACAATGTTTACTATGTCATCTGTAAAAGACATTTGATTTCCATACCGTCAAAATGATGTGCAGGGTCAAAAATTAATTACTGAAAAAAAATTACCTTCTGAATGAGTTAAACTCATTGGTGTCTGACTACATCTTTTGGGGGAAAAAAAGAAGAAAATAGACACATGCCATTTTAATAGATGGGCTTAAATCAAAAGAAACTCAGAAAGCTGAAATCTATTTTTATAATTCTATTTTTGAAAACCATAAGTAAATGTGAGGCAGCATGGTGGAATCAGGCTCTCATCAATTTTTGGGCATGTACAGTTATTGGTGTCATCTTAAAGCTTGTTCATTTGTCTTTATTTCAATGGAAAAAGTATCCATTTATCTTGAGTACAAGTCGAGATATTTGCGAATGAAAGAGGTGGGGACCACCTGTTTTCAGAGGTAAAATTAGTGAGAAAATGGCCGCCAAAGATTGGTTATTTCCTCAGCTTAAGAGTCCGTGGAAACTGAAAATTTACATTTTTTGTGGGTTTAATCAACATTTTTAAGAAAAATCTGTACAGAAATGAGTTCTAAATGGGCATGAAAGGTGTTGAGCCTAAAAACAAAAATTTGATAAAAATTCACAAACCTGCGGAAAAATGCAAGTTTCTTCACTTTGATTATTTTGACGAGAGCCTGATTCCACCACGCTGCCTCACAAATGCTATTTAACAAATAACGTTAACTTGAAAGTTCTATTATCTCCAGAGTGCTTCACCAAAGACAACTAAATAAAGCAAGACATGAAGTGGGAGAAAACGTTTCAGGGACAAAAAATGCTACTGACTATGCAAAGGCAAGACAAAGCCTTAAAGCCGATATCCACCTGAGAGAGAGATCTAGAGGCAGATCTCGGGCATATGAGACACAGCTGACTGGTAGTAAGGAAGATAGCCTGGAACAGAGACAGGAGGAGAGCTCTTTTTGGCAGTCTATATCCAAAACCAGGGTGAAAGAGGTGAATGATGATGATGATGAAGCAAAAGCAAACACTACCTACCCTTTGCAACCCTTTTATCACTGAGAACGTGTCAGAAATCTCTGGTAGCATGTAGTTGTCCGGGGCAAATGGAATGTTGTTTGCTTCCTGCTCATAATTCTGCAGAACAGTTGAGAAGAGGGATTATTTGCACCTTCACAGCCATACACAAACCAGTAAATAAGATCAATGGAATTTTTACCAAATAAAAGAAAAGAACAAATTTTATGTCACACATGGTAATCGATGAAAGTATCAAAGACTTTTTAGAGCTACCCTTTTCCTAGACATAGAAAATAGATTTTTTGAGTTTGATTAAACATTAGCACACAGGCACAATAATACTCATTTGGCTGGAAGAAAAGAGCGAGAGGTAGACAGAAAGAAAAGAGAGAAAGAAAAAAGTAGGACCTACCAGTGACAACCTCCAACCACCCTCAGAATAGGTTGCAAGGAACAAATTACACAAAAGCTGCAACTATTACTTCGCAACATAGGATAAAATCCCACACACACCTAGGTAAATAACATCAACAGTAAAACAAAAATTGGCAAAGTAAGGAATTGGGAATTTCTATATTTACAAGAGCAAACACAAATTGTGGAGCCAGCTTTTTTTGTAATTATATGAATTTTCAGTATCAGGTTAAGATGGGTTTCTTTTAATTCAATTACACCCTTACGACTCAGTCAAATATTTAAAAGACACAGAAAGAAATGAGTATTAAGAAACGAACACAAATGAGGAAAAAGAAACAGCATGAAAACATCATGATGGACAAACTATCATTATTATCATTTTTCAAAAACATCATTTTATATATTATTACTATCTTAATATTACTACATATTATCAAGCTGACAGGGTTTATACACCAGACTATACTGACAATTAATAACCCAAATGTCATGAAGCAAAAATAATAATAGACAATACACACCACACACTCACAAAACACATACACACTAACACACACACACACACACACACACACACACATGCGCACACACACAGATACACATAAGCACATCATACACACAGACACATCCACACTTATGGTTGCCAGAAATGTGTTAAAACAAATGACAAGTCACTACTTTAGGATTACAAAGTTCTATTTAATCAGCACCTAGTTTTGAGATATTTGACATTAAAAATTTTGAGTTTTCACTACATGTCAAGCTTTTTCGAATGCCGTTCTTTGAATATTTTGATAATGACTCTAAATAATCTTATGATTTTGACAGAGCAGATAGTACATTTGGTTTCTGAAGTCATGGTCTTAGTAACTCAAACGGCCAAAAATTTCAGTTCGAACTGTGTAACTCTGAGGTAGCAATGTATCAAAGTAAACATACTGCAGAATGCAAATAGAGCAGCTCTTTTTCCTTTTGAAGACAAGTAGACATCTCAGTGGCAAACAGCACTCCGTCATCTTGGAAGGTATTCTGAAAGGAAAGAAAGAAGAGCAAGTAACAATCCAGTTCACGTTAATTAGATCCTGAGCTTAAATTTGATTTTTTTTGTTGTTTTTTTGAAAGTTTCATAGCACTTGCAACACAATTAGGTCATATAAGTGCTGAGGATTATGGGTAACACAAAAAAGAAGGAGAGATAAGGATGATATAGAATAGATCTCTGAGAGGAAAGAAAAACATATAAAAACACATGAGCGCCTGCCAACCAACCAAAATTCAAATTTAATTACAATTACAAAAAACTACAGACCGCGGCTTGAGTGGCATCCAGCAGTGATGTGATGTGATCATTGTCAATATTGGTGTGATGTTGTGGGTGGTTGGCGGGTGCTCTGGTGTGGTTTGCTCCTTCTTTCCTATCAAACATCTATCGTCCTTATCTCCCCTTGTTCTTTTTTATGCTTGTAACTCTCTTGTAACACCTCTAATCTTCTGGCGCTCATATGACCTTATGCAGTTGCGAGCGCTGTAAAACGTCTACTAAAACTAAACTAAACTAAACTAAACTAAAACGTTGAAAATTATTGCATGTGTGAGGTGACATTGTAAACCAAAATATCCTTATAAGGATAATAAATAAAAGTGGATTTTATGTTTCCGTTTACATTTAAAATAAGATCCGATAATAACAAAAACATAAAGATATTACGAAGCAAACACTGTAATGAAAAAGAAAAAGACAAAAGCCAAAGAAATGGAAACACACACAATTTTTTTGGTCATTATTATATACAGTGGGCGTCGCATTCAACAAGGTCACATTCAATGAGAAGTCGGCTCCAATGAGGCAATCCTTAATCCCCGATTTTTTCCTATATATCTCTTTCTAACCACAGCACAGAAACAGCACTTCTTAAAGTCATGAATGACAGGCTTACTGATTGTGATTCAGGAAAAGTTGTTTTGCTGAGCCTTTTAGATCTATCAGCAGCTTTTGATACAATTGACCATCACATTTTATTGAAGCGATTGGAAGTGTCTTTTTGATTATCCGGGACTGCCCTTAGCTGGTTTTCTTCTTACCTGTCAAATCGTTACCAATCTGTTTTTATTAAAGGGCTTAAGTCATCAGATCATGCTCTTAAGTATGGGGTCCCCCAGGGCTCAGTCCTCGGTCCAGTTTTGTTCACCATTTATACTCAACCACTTGTCAAGGAAATAGTTAAATATGACTTAAAATACCATTTCTATGCTGATGATACCCAAATTTATGGTTCGACATTGTTTACCAACTTAGATGAACTTGTCCATCGTGCTGAAAATTGTATTGCCTTAGTGAAAAACTGGATGAACAAAAATAAATTGATATTAAATGATAATAAAACAGAAGTCATTCTGGCAGGCAGTGCAAAGTCTGTTAAAGAGGTTGACCATGATCACATTAAAATTGGTGATGCAAAAATATTATTTTCAAGAAAAGTTAAGAATCTTGGCATCTATTTTGATTCTAGTTTGTCAATGTCGGCTGAGGTAAATCATCTGATCAGCTGCATGTATTTAGAAATAAGAAAAATTAGTAAAATACGTCATCTGATCAATACCAAGTATACTGCTTTACTAGTAACTAGCTTAATTTTATCAAAACTCGATTATTGTAACTCCTTGTTGTCAGGAATATCACTGAAGAAAGTTAAAAGACTTCAAACTGTCCAAAACAATGCAGCACGTTTAGTTTCACGGAAAAGAAGGCGAGACTCTGCTAAACCTCTTTTACGAACTTTGCATTGGCTTCCTGTTGAGAAAAGGATTGTGTACAAGTTGGCCACCATATGTCACAAATGTTTGAATGATAATGCACCATCATATTTATCAAATCTGTTAAGACTGTACATTCCAACTCGCAGTTTAAGATCATCAGCTGACAAAAAGAAATTTATTTTACCATCTATGAAACTTAAAACAATGGGTGAAAGGGCATTTGAATACCAAGACCCCAAGATCTGGAATGCTTTACCAAGTACGTTGAGAGAAATCAAATCTTTTGATTCATTCAAATGTCAGCTGAAGTCGTTTCTGTGTTTAAATTAATAAGATGAATATTTGGAATAATTTTCTTTAGTCAGAACACAACGTTTCATGTTACTGTTGTATGTTGTACTGTATTGTAAAGCGCTCAGAGCCTGTGTACTTTATTCGGGGTTGAGCGCTATATAAATGTCATTTATTATTATTATTATTTGTAAATGTACATCAGCTCCAATGAGGTTGCAAACAGACCGAAGTCCCTTTCAACGAGGTCACGATAATCAAATAAAAGCAATTAGCGGCCCCAAAAGTGAAGAATTTTTCTCTTTTCTCTCCATCTCAAGCAAAGCACAAGGCCCATCCTCGACTCCTAATACATTTTATTGCTAGATCTAGTGTGCCTTCTAATATGGGCCCCAAAGCCAAGAGGATGGGCGAGGGTTAGCCTGCGGTAGGGATGGGAGGGGATGGGTGGGAACGCTATGCGGGCTGTGTGAAACTGGCTGAACTCTGGATGGGTAGGTTTAGATCGAGACCTTCATTTTTTTCAATTTTCTTCTCTTCCTCTGCTCAGAAAATCCAAGCTTCCGTCTTTACGTTCTGTAGATATCTAGGCCTTGATGTGAGAGAGTATGTTTCCACAAGAGAAGTGCTCCGTAAAAAAATATTTTAAAATACAGAAATGACCGTCAGAACACAGCTCATACACGCGCACACTGATGCTGTTCGAGAATTTCTTCATCAGGGGGAACAACTGTTTTAATTATTGGTATTGGTACATTGTGTAGTACAATAACTTGTCTCCTTTCTTTTCTTTAGTTTTAGTCACGCTCAACGAGAGGTCGGATCCAACGAGGACAACAAGCCGGTCCCGGCAACCTCGTTGAATGCGACACCCACTGTATAAAGATAGGGTGAAAAAATTAACAGACGGACATTTTTCCCACACTTCAACAACACAAACATGAAAGATTCAGGTTTTCTCATTTCAAAGAGTCTGGGGAACTGTTAGAATGTAGCCCCCCCCCCAAAATTGAAATTGTTGATTCCATCCAAGCCATAGAGATTATTTGGAAGATCAAGCTCTTTGACCCTACCTGTCAGGACGACCCACACCGAGGAGGATTATACAACAGACAATCAAACATACTCAATTTTTTAAAAACTTTACCATATGCAGACTATGTCTTTTGTGAGCTATGGCAAAGTGCATGACACCACAGGCAATGGTAAAATGTAGAGCAGGTAGAATTGAACTGATGATAAAGTTTTGTTTCTACTGGAAGGCTTTGTCTTGATTTTAAAACTATTTTACATTCATATGTTATCATGCTGGGCCATAAAATAAAAACTATACTGACGGTCATTAAAAACGCACCATTTTGGATTGAGCACATTTTGGACTAAAATCTATCCAGTGACATCAATTGAGGTTGACAAATATTCACGGGCAACAGAGGTTACCGATCGCACAAAATTTGAAGTTCCCAGTTCAAAACTGTCAATGCGCACGTGCAACATGCAAAAATCCGATATGTCGACCTCAAACCTAAACTTTGTTCAGGGAGACAAATTTTTTGGCTGTTAGGGAGAGATTATATTCGCCCATAACAAAAACTGACATTCTTTACTCTGTGCGACGGATTTTTTCTGCGTAAATAATGCTGCAACTTTCCATGCAAGAACGTGAAAAGGGGATTGGAATGCCCCGAGCCGGAATGGCAGCACGGCAAGTTGCCAGGCGCATAAACTGCAGCCACTCGACTGTTATCCGGTTGTCTCAACAAAATGCAGCTACTGAATCTACAGCAGATCGACGACGGAGCGGCCAACCACGAGTTACATCATCAGCGCAGGACCGTTACATTTGCCAACGTCACCTTCATGACCGTTTTCTGCCAGCACCGGAAACAGGTCGTCAAGTGGTTGGTCGGTGTGGATGGACCGTGCGACGCCGTTTGCGGGAAGCAGGACTTGCAGCCAGACGCTCGTACGTTGGTCCTGTCCTGACACAGAGGCACTGTCAACAACGTTTGCAATAGGCCAAGCAGCATTTACAGTTGACGAGAGTCGCATGCTGACCGGAGAAGAAGGGTCTGGAGACACCCCGGCGAGACAAATGAGGGGGTACAGATTCCACAGGTGTTCTTTCAGACTCTTGTCAATTCCATGAGAAGACGCTACCAATCTTGTATTTAGGCCAATGGAGGACATACACGATACTAAAGCAGGTGTTAAAAACTCAATTTACCGCTCTGATTTTTGAAAAATGACTTTTGTTACTCCATGCTTTTGTGCTCGCGGTGCCATTTGACCTTTTCATTTCATTTCAGCTGTGAAGGTTCACAAAATGACCATAGAATGCAATGGTATACAACCTGTTTTAAAAAATAAACACATCACCACAACTTGAATTGTTTTGTAAGTGGTGCGTTTTTAATGACCGTCAGTATATTTTGAAAAATTGACATTTATATAATGTTGGGCCAAAAAAAACCTATCAAGTTCAACAAGTCTCTATCATCCTTATACTTCACTATGGGGGTAGCATCTTCATTTATCTTTCGCTTGATTTTCAGATAGATGTGAGGGAGTTTACACTTTACATTTGTGTCACGACAAGATGGAACCAGACCCTCACTAAGTTTTGGGCATATGAGATTACTGACATCAGCTTAAAGCTTGTTCATTTGACTTGCTTTTGATGAAAAGCATACCCATCTATCTTAAAAAGAAGCCAAGTCATTTGTATCTAAATAAGGTAGGGGTCGCCTGATAGCACATGTAAAATTGGGAGTAATCGGCCGTCAAAGTTTGGTGACGCCCAAATCTTAAAATTCCCTTGAAACTGCAAATTTATAGTTTTTGTGCCTCTAATCAATGTTTTTCAGTAAAATCCACAAAGTAATGTGTTTTTTAATTTAAATGGATGTAAAAGGAGTTGAGGTCAAAAGAAAATGCTATAGAAATTGTCCAATGGATGGAAAAATGCAGATTTCTTTGAATTCAATATTTTAACGAGTGCCAGATTCCACCATAATGCCTCACATTTACAAAAAAAACAGGTACATTTAAGAAATGTCAAAATGAACAGGTATAAAAACTTACCTTCACTGAATACCTAGCAAATGTCATCATTACTCCACTGTCCGACTGGCTTGGGCTGTTCCTTTCATTCTCAATGAACTGTTCCATCAAAGCCAAAATTTTCACGTAGTACAACTGAGCATTGTTGATTTCTGTGGGATTGTTTTTCTGGCATTCCTGGCTGATGTGTGCCCTTGTAAAGAGAAAACATGAAACGGTGTGATGAAATGCAAAAAATGAACGTTTTTAGTATATTGGACTGTGGTTTTACCTTAACATCATGCTTTTATAATTCTGATATCCTGCACCATGCAGAATTTCCACATCTCCCAAATTAATGGAGTTCAGCATTACAACAGGGCTGTGTGTACCATGATGTGGCAAATGCTGTGTCTTCCATTGTATTGCGTAAAAATAACAGATGCATAAAATGTTTAAAATTTTCAGAGAAGAAAAACAGGTCTTCATGAACTGCACACAGAAAAGTGGGAAGACGTGGAGTGACATCAAGCGACTAGCCCAGGATAGGGAAAGGTGGAGAGTGTTTGTTCGTGGCCTTTATCCGCCCCAGGGTGAGAAAGGCAATGATGATGATGATGAACCGCACACTGAAAGGTCTGGTTCGCACTCTCTAAACTAAGTTTAACTGCAAAGCTCACAAAGGCACAATGAGCAAAAATTCATTTTTGTAGCTCTATAAGTATTTTATGCACCCTTTGGCACAAATTAGATAATCTAAAAGACAAGCTGCTTCTATTCTGCCGGTCAGGGCTAGCTCTAGCTGAGATGGATACAACATTCCAGCAGACAGAGAGATACCAAATAAAAAAATTTAAAACTCTCCTTGCAGGAATCAAACTCATGTCTTGTGCATGTAATGGCAAAAAGTGTAGTAACTGTTACACCACAGAGACAGGTGTATTGCGCAAGTCATCATGTACAGTTCTCTCATGATGTGCTAATGCTCATAAAATGAACCCTCCTCCGTAAAATTAAGCAGAGAGGGGTATATAAGGCGCAAATCTAACTGATATTGCAGCACTGTGCTGTCACTTGTATGCTTCACACCATTTTAATCCAGTTGATTCTATTGTATTGAGCATGACTACATTTACCTGCACTCAGTATGAATGCCTCAGCATACTGTGGTGTTTATATTTATAGGTCAACCCAGTGTTAGACTATTAGATTGCTTTTATCAATATATAGAAGGGAAACAATAAATCCTGGATTGTTGGTCCCTATATTAACATGATTAAGTTGAATTATGTCCCTGTAATTGTACTTATATTTTATCTACCTCATGGCATAGGGGATAAGATGTTTACCTCTCATTCAAAGGTCCCAGGTTTGAATCTGAGTAGCAACGGAAAAATGTTCTGCTCTATCATTGTCTCCTTTCACCTCCTTTACTGCTCTTAAGCAATGTTCTGTCATCTGCTTTCGTCTCCACTTTCTGCCCCCACCCCCTCACCTCCTTTGCCCCCTCCTCTGGGCTCCTGACTCTTTCTGCAGCCTTTCTACTGCTACTCCTTCGTTCCTTCTTACTGCTGTCTTTCAGCCACATGCCTGATCTCATGGTAGGAAAGATCTACACCTAGCGAAGGGCAAAAAATCTCGGAGGTCTCGTGCGCAAGCTTGGCACATTAAAGATCCCTTGGTGGTCTAAAATCGATAAGAGTATGCTTCGGCGGCCATCCGCGGAAATTCAAAATTTTCTACGAACTGAAAATGTTCAATGTGTCCCGCATGCTAATATGACCTTATGCAATTGCGAGTGCTGTAAAACACTTACATGTACCAAAAAAATAGAAGAAAAAAAAAAGAATATCATTTCTTTGACTTGTATGTTAATTATCTGATCACCACTCACTGACACATTCTAGACAAGAACCACCAGCAAGAGACTGTCTCAACTCAGGACATCCAGTGTCAAGTTGAAAAGAGTGCAGAACTGAAAAAATTTGTCACCAAATTCTTTTCACTCCTCTTTTCTCTTTTTTCTTACATTTCTCTTTTTCTGTTTTCTTCTTTCCTTCTTTACATTTTATCCGATTAAAAACCAGAAAAGAGGTTACCATTGAACATTGTCGATGAAGTCATGCAGTCTTGTCCGCAAGAAGAATGGAATTTTGTCATACAGCTCCTCTGTTCCTTCCACTTTCCCCTGAATCATCATGACCAGAAATCTTCTGACTCTGCTCCATTCCATGATGCTGGAATATCTTTTCATAGAAGAACAAAAATGTCATGTTTATTCATTAGAAATGTTGCCATTAATTATAATTAATTACTATTCCAAAAACCTCCTCTAATGAGAATAGGAGCTATTGAGCGAATTTCAAAGGGTAGAATTCTACAAAGTACAATAAGTATTATGTCAAATTCTTTCAGTACAGCACATCATTGATTGATATGAACTACATCACAAGTCATGTATGATCTTCACTTAATAGTGTTGATAAGGGTGTAAAACCCAGTGGCGGGGCGCCATTGGTGCAATTGGTGCAAGCGCTCCACCTAACCCAGGCCTTCAACCCCCCCACTTCTAATTGTCCTAAACCAGTCAGTGCTCTAGATCTACGTTAGGCCTACTACATCCTTGTGATCCGTCACCCGCTGGCTGCGCCAGTGGTGAGACAGACAGCAAGGATGGTTTATGCTCGTAGCACCGCTTGCGGTAGTGTCTGCTGCGAGCAAGAAAAATCTTTGCACCAAAGTTATTTTTGTCACTGTAGAGAAATCTAGGCATCGTTCTTCCCGCACAAGAAGAAGGGTGCATGAAACTGCTCTTCGCAGCACCAATTTGGTGCAAACTAAAAATTTGATCCAAGTTCCTGCAAGCCTATCTACTGCACCAGAAGAGTCTACGGTAACTCAATGAAGAATGGGTATCGAAACTGTTGTCTCCCTCTATTGTGCAGTAAGTCCTGGTGCTGCACGAAGTAATTAGAAATCTTTACATCTTCTCAGATTGTGAGCATAGTGAGTTGTTAGTATTGTTTCATTTCATTGCAGCTTTTATGTGGTTTCATCAAGAAACAGTTGTAGGTATAGATAGATTTAGATTGCGGGATATCCTTCAGATTCTAAATGACTTTCTCCAGAAATCTTTATATTAGCTACTAAGCCTACTGCCCATTTGTTCATTTTCCAATTTTGCACCACCTTGTCTGCAACCCACGCGAAGCCACTGGTAAAACCTATACCATTTCACCATATTCATATGATCTCCTACTGCATGAGTGGGTTACGTGTCATTGAGCTCAACTCAACTCAGACTCAAGTCGTGAAGTTTTTCCAGCGCAAAGCAATATTTACAGCACAGCCGTCTCACACTCATCACACTCTCTGCCCACCATGCATATTCAGTTGCTGGCTTTCCTCGCAATTCTGTCTCACATGCATGTGAGGCGTCATGGTGAAATCAAGCGCTCGTCAAAATAATGAAATCAAAGAAATTTGCATTTTTCTGGCTGTTGGGGAATTTTGGGGAATTTTCTTTCTTTGGCTTGAAACCGTTTATGCCCATTTAATAACATATTCATGTGTGTATTTCACTAAAAAAAATAATTTTTATGTTGATCAAAGGCACAAAAAAATGCAAATTTACAGTTTCAAGGAACCTCAAGCTTTGAAAGTCACCAAACTTTGGGGGCCATTTTCTCGCTAATTTTACCTATGAAACCAATGACCCTCACTCTTTCAATAGCATATATCTATTTCTATGTAAGATATAGAGATGTATAATTTTTTTTCCATTGAAAGCAAGACAAATGAACAAACTTTAAGATAATACCAATAATCCCAATTGCCCGAAAATTGACGAGCGCCTCATGATTCCACCTTGCCGTCACACATATATTCACCATGTCTCCTTGGCATTTGGTGTTTGCTTCCCAGAATTAATTTATAACAAATCAGAAAATGAAACACGAAATATGATCTTTACTCAGAATTGAAATTAACTCTTTCCGGGCGTAGTTTTTTTTGGTCTAGACATAATTAACTTGTGGCTCGATTTGGCTATGCAGGTGGTGTACAAAATAACTTCATAGAAGCATAACCATCACTCCAAACATAACATATGATATATCAAATTGAAGGAAATTGAATGAGGAATACATTCCAATATGAAACAAGGATTAATTTTGAACATAAGTATGCATTAGAAGGGTAAGAAATGGCAATGGAGATTAGAAAAATACATTTTGACGGAAAAAATTACATTCATCAAACATGTGAAAGCAAATCAGAATAGCTATCTTGTCATATACAGGTCAAGAGCATAATCCATAAATTTCTGAATGCGTAGTTTTTTTTTATTTGAAAGCAATATTCCAATTTTTGTATGAGTTATGAAATTTATACTGAGTACGGTTACATCGTTCTGTTGATGCAAGACAGCAAGAACTAATTCACTCGTTTTTCCCCAAACCTACGCTTTGACAAAATGAAACTTGATGCTTCCGTTTCCTAAATCCTTTCCGAGTTTTTCAATAGCAATATAAAGTAATAATAAATGACGGATCGTGATAAAACGAAACAATACTGAGGCACACTATCACAGTCGATATATCGGCGATACGTGTGCAAGAGGTGTGGACTCGCGCCGATATATCGGCGATACATCCGGAAAGAGTTAATATTATTACAGTCAATCTCAATTTTTAATGTGAGACCAAAATAGGGTAGAGCTATGCCCATTCGATTTCACTATTTGAAATTAACAATGTTTGCGCTATTCACAGTTATTCGAAACGTGGTGGAGCCATTCAAATGCTGTGTGATTTTTTTTCATATATAAAAGGGATTTCTTGAAACCTGATATAACAGAGATGGTAGGACCAGAGAAAAAGTCCTGTTATATCAGATCCCTGTTAAATCAGAAATGCAAGGACAGTAAGCATTTGGGGACTTTTTAAATCCAGCTATATTTATTATTCAGGAGTAGTGTAACGAAGCTTAGGACTAGATCGAAGTCTGCAACACACTGCAGCCCTCTCTCGTTTCATCCGCTGCATGTGCTTACAGTGGCGTGGCTTGCCTGGGCTTGTTCTATCACTGCATTCTCTCTCTCCCTCTCTCTCTCTCTGTCTCTTTTTACACATAGTTAACGAGCCTTTGTCCCTGCTATAATTAATTGGGCTCCAATGAGGCCCTGTTAATGCTGATAACTTTTAATAGAGACAAAGAGTAGGAAAAAACGGGGATTTAAAAAATCCCTGTTGTTACCGGTTCCTGTTATATACGGTTTCAACTATAGTTTTTTTTTCAACCTGTAGTAAAATTAAAGCATGAATATAAACTATCTAAATTCACTGAAGCAAATTCAGTACTACCTTCAAGTTGATGATTACGGGACAGAGTGATAAGAGGAGCCAGCATGAGTTATAAAACATGTCTCTAAAAGGCACTTGTGATACCATCAAAAATTCAATAGACCATCGTTTCGAAGCGCAGCAGGTGGGTGATTTTGCATAGGCTGACATATTATAGGCCTACTGACTGAGCTCCCCTTTCACAATCAGATATTTGAAGCATAAGGCTGTACCCACCATCGTTTCGAAGCGTAGCGAATGGGTTTTTTTTAACGCTGGCATACTTAGCTCCCCTTGCACAATATGTGACATTCGAAGTGTAAGGCTGCTATACCCAATGCTTCGAAGCGCAGCAAATGTTTTTAGGGACGTTAGCTAGCTTAGCTCCCCTTGCATAATGAGATATTCGAAGTATAAGGGAGCCCACCACCGCTTCGAAGCACAGCGAAAATATATTAGCCTCGGCTGGCACATAATTGGTTCGTAGGTGCAGTTGGGGATATATGGGTATGGAAGGGACAAATGAAATGAAAGATAATGAGTATATTACGCATGATAGATTGTGAGCCACGCTAGCCACCGTCTTGACCCCATTTTATAATTCCCCCTCTCCCCTGCTCTCATGTCATTGTCGCCTCTTTCTCTGAACATTTTATCACCACGGCGCTGTGATAACCACGGCCGTGGCAAGTGAAGAGGCAGGCGCACTTAGCTCAATTAATCACTGTACGAGAAGGTCTGTGAATAGTGAAAATTTTATCGAAGTGGCTAGCCATACTTAAGTACGGCTAGC